CTATCAGCGGATTCACCTTCTAGGGTGGCCATTTAATCACTGAGAATATGAAGAAAGGCATAGTGAAAGATTGGATAGAAATTTACATAACGTATGCATATTCTAATTGATATGAATAGATAAAACTATAACGAGTGTGTGTGTGTGGGGGGGGGGGTGATTACCAAGTAGCTCACCATCATAAGGGATAGTTATGACTTGTGTGCTTATTCTATCTAATGAGCAACTTTTCAGATGGACAGCTTCAAAGCCTCCGATTAATCTTCATATAGTCCTTTATCTTTAAATTGGCCTTGGGTAGGGCAATCCTTCAAACAGAACATTCTCTTAAAGAAAGTACATGGAGAACATCAGATCATCCTTCTGGCCGTGATTTTTCAAGGGCTGACCATGGCAAAGTTTTGTACGTTTTCCTGCCAGCCTATCTAAGTTGAGCCAATATTTTGGGGAGGTAGAAAGATAAAGTGATGACTTCTTCCCTTTTCTCTCTGCCTTTTTAATATTCTTCCCAATAAGTAGGCCCTGCCTGGCAGGCAGTTGCTGCAGTATTAATTAGCCATCATTATTTGTGTTACTATTTGCATTAATGACTTGCCGATCTCATTTTTTACATCAGCGCCTCCAAAGGGCAGTTCATACTGGAATCTTTGTTATGCTAAACACTCTGACTCCTCCATTTCTACCCACTCAGGATAGGAGCATAAAAGCATAAAATGGAACAAATTTCTGGGGTTGTAAAATCTAATCTCTTCCAACAAGATGTGAATAATAACTTAACCTTAAAAAAAAAACCTCACTGACATTTATCCACTCTTTTAGAAAGAGAGAAGAGTCCACTTCTTGGGTGATCTGCATCATTAGTGTAGCTGTTGCATAATGGTTAAATGTATGTGTGTGTGCGCACACCCATTTGTGTGTGCAGTTACCATCTTTTCTTTGAGCTTAGATAAAGGAAAATACCTTTAGCTTGTCTTTAAAGCTAGCATCAACGTAGGCACTTAATGGGGGCAGCGTTTTGTGACACGGGGCTATGAGGTGGTGGGAGGAAATGCTGGATTAGTTTAAAGGGTTATTGAATAGCATTGCCTTTGGTAGGAAAGGGCTAGCATGTGTGTAATATGAAAGGATGGTATGCATGAGTATTTCTCAATGGAAAAAACAATAATACTCAGCAAAGTGGAAAAAAGCAGGAAACAAGGAAGACCACAGTATAGATCAGGCATGGGAAAAATTTGACCTTCCAGGTATTTTGGACTTCAACTCCCACAATTCCTAACAGCCTCAGGCGCTTTCCTTTCCCCCCTCAGCTGCCCACAGAGGAAGAATTGTTTAAAGCTACAGACAATTCTGTTGCAGTTGCCCTTTTTTGGTCAAAAAATTGTGGGAGTTGATGTCCAAAACACCTGGCAGGCCAAAGTTTGCTCATGCCTGGTATTGATGGATTGATTCAGTTGAGGAAGACTTACAAGACATGTGGCATAATGTAAAATAAACCATGTGTACAGTGTTCCTTCACTACTTCGCAGTTCACTTTTAGCAGACTCGCAGTTTTGCAGATTTTTGAAAATATGAATAAAAATATTAAATGTTAAATGTTAAATACTTACATCCAGTGGAGGCTAGGGAGGCCAGGGACCCCGGAAGAGCGGCAGCCTCAGGCATGGCAGGGAAGGTCTGCCTCCCTGGCCTCCACAGACCCCAGAAGTGTGGTACCTGGAGGCACCTCGGAGGCCAGGGAGGCAGGCAGGTGCCCCTGGGATGGCCTGGGAGGCAGGTAAGGAAGCACGGGTAAGAAAATAATATATAAAATATATAAAATAATGTATAAATATTAAAATTAATATGGAATCCCTGCTTTGCGGATTTTAACTTATTGCGGGTGGTCCTGGAATGGAACCACCGTGATAAGTGAGGGAACAATGTAGTTCACATTTGATCAGGCCTCACACTGCCTTGTCAGAGAAAGAAAATATGCCATGCAGAAGAACAATGAAGAACAGGTCATTCACTATTTGTAGTTCAGAACAACTATGTACAGTGTGATCAGCTACACCAACTCACATAATGTCCATTTATGAGAGATTTAAAATGGTCCTTCTTTCTCCATGTGGATAAACTCTTTCAGCAGCTCATGAAGCAAGAACACAATACAAACACTGTGTCTCTCTGCTTCTCTTTCTGCTTCTCTGCAAGCACGTGCATAGCTCAAGCCTGAACAAGAATGTAACAGTATCCAAAAGTTCCAGGTTCAGCCTGCTCCCTGGACATAGCCTAATCAATCAGCTTCATACATCTTATTTTATAGTTGACACACACATACTCAGTGATTCTTTACATGCTCCAGAAAGACAGAACAGGCCTGTTGATGACCAGGGTTTTCTGAGCTGGTTTGATAACAAATAAAAATAACAAAGCATGAGTAGACATCCTCTTTCTGTTTTTCTAAGGCAGAGGTAGGGAACCCATGGTTGTGTAGCTGATGCTTTACCCTTGCTCTTATTAGTCTCAGACCTCATGAGCAATAATGGAGGATGGTTGCAAGCTCTACTTTTAACACATTTGACAGTGACTATATGTTCAACATCACTTTTCTAAAATGAATAATGGGCCACTAGCAAGAGTATCCCATTGTGTATCAAGTCCTATTGCATATCATTCTCAATGTGCACAAGTCCAACCTTGCTGGTTCTCTTATACAGTAATGTAACAGCAGTCCCTTGCTGGATGAGGATATTACAGAACTGCTCTATTCCAATTCCTACAGGCTTAAGTCCATTTATGAAGATGTAATTTGTAAGTTCCAGCCAGGAACTGGAACTTACGAATGTTGGTGATTCTGGTACACAGCAGTCTTGAATGCATTGTGATCATTTACAGCTTTATGTAAATTACTCACAAGGCCTCTGAGATAACTTTTCTTTGAGGCATGATGGGAAATTAAATTGGACTTCTCAGACTTTTATCAATACATTTTTTCACTGGATGGGGGATTCTCAGAATTGTAGTCCAAAAATAACTTCTCCAAGCACAGTCTGCACATCATCTGATACTACTAATAATAAAACTTTATTTGTGCCCTGCCACCATCTGCCCAAAAGGGACTTAAGGTGGCTAACAAAGCACCCAAGGTGCCACATATAAAATAGAATTACATTTCATCAAAACAATACACAGTTTGACTGGATACAAACAATGGCATCTACAAAGCTGCATGGCTATTTCCAGATTGGAGGGGGAAAGTATCAATGTTGCAAGATAGCTATGGCTTAGCTTTGGTTCCCTGGCTGGTGGCCAAGAAACCAGTGTATTGAATGTGGCCTGTGGGCAGGGCTGTGAGATGTATACCTACTCAAGAAGCTCATCCAGGTTTTCCCAAAGAGAGATGCATGACTTCTTCCTCTAAGAAGATCTCCACTTATTGAACAGAGAAGCACTGACCTTGGTCTCTGCAACTCTGTTTTATATGTTAAATATATAGTAGCCCCCAATGGCACAGTGGGTTAAACCGCTGAACTGGCTGACCGAAAGGTTGCCAGTTTGAATCTGGGGAGCAGAGTAAGCTCCTGCTGTTAGGCTCAGCTTCTGCCAGCCTAACAGTTTGAAAACATGCAAATGTGAGTAGATCAATATGTACTGCTTATGCGGGAAGGTAACTGCACTCCATGCACCACATGACCTAGGTGTCTACAGGCAACACTGGCTCTTCAGCTTAGAAATGGAGATGAACACCACCCCCCAGAGTTGGCCACAACTAGACTTAATGTCTAGTTTACCTTTACTTATATCGGTTAAATTGTATATGACAGGTAAACATGTTGACTAGTTGTTGCAAAAACAACAGAGAGCCTTGTGGCACTTTCAAGATGACGAAGCTTTATTGGCCATAAACTTTCATGAACTGCAACCCATTTCTTCAAATGCCAGTCCATGAATGCTTATACTAGATAAAAACTTATTAATCTTCAAGGTGCTCCCAAGTCACTTTGTTGTTATTGCATGTAAAGTTGATGAGAAATGGTGAGAGGTGTGGAACAGTAAATGTGAATCTCCAAGGGTGAGCTCAGGACTGCAGTTAATAACAAAGTATTTGTCTTGCAGGAAGATTTCATTACATTTACAGTCCTGTCAGATATTTCCCAGCTCTGAATGGCTCTGCCTGTGATTATATATTGAACTCTTTGAACCATTTCTATTAATATCAAAGACCAAAAGAAAAAACGGCAGACTTTTTTTCGGTTTAAATTAACTCTCTCATTGCTTGAAGATTCATATTATCTCTAGCCTAAATGTATCCACAAATAAAAGGCAAACTGAGTATATATGGCCAGAAAAAATGGACATGTATGCTAAGAAAGAAGAGTCAAAAGGCATCAATAAGAACTAATAAGAAATCCAAATAGTACAGTAGAGTCTTCCTTATCCAACATAAATGGGCCGGCAGAACGTTGGATAAGCGAAAATGTTGGGATTAAGGAAAAGCCTATTAAATGTCAAATTATGTTATGATTTTACAAATTATGCACCAAAACATCATGTTTTACAACAAATCAACAGAAAAGGCAGTTCAATACATTATAACATCATGTAGTAATTACTGTATTTACGAATTTAGCACCAAAACATTGCAATATATTGAAACAGCTGTGGATCCGGGTGGGAGGCAGACTGTGTTGGATAATACAGAATGTTGGATGAGCGAAGACTCTACTGTATTAACATTTGAAAAATGACTATTTGTATGATTTTTTGTGGGTTTTGAATGCAGATATTCTTGTCATGTGCCTTTAGAAAGGCTGAGACTTATGGCAACCTTCTCATACTTTTCTTGCCAATTTTTTATTCCAAGCAAATTTGCCATTGCCTTCCCCTGGGATAGCAAGATTTACGAAATTTCACCCAGTAGATTTCAATAGATGATCAGGATTTCAAACTCTGGCAAACACACAAAACCAAACTTTAAAAAGTGATGGTATTGAGATGCCGCCTTCTTTTTTCCCCAGGTGCTTTCCTGATTCCTTATTTTCTGACGCTGGTGTTTGCTGGGATTCCACTTTTCCTGTTGGAAACAGCTCTTGGACAATACACCTCTGTTGGAGGACTCGGAGTGTGGAAACTAGCACCCATGTTTAAAGGTACTGTCAGTTTTGGTATGTTTCCAGAGTATCTGCTCATTGATTTAGAGAACTTTTGAACACACCCTGTTTTTTGTCTCATAGGAGTTGGCCTGGCTGCAGTAGTCCTTTCTTTCTGGCTAAATATCTACTATATTGTCATCATTGCCTGGGCCCTCTATTATCTCTTCAACTCTTTCACTGCGGTGAGTTTTTGCTGTCCCTTCTGGTGGTAGGGGATGAAATAACATGATTTAGCCCCATATGTCTGAAAACGACCTTATAAACCTATCTTATCTATCATTATTGTTGGATGATAAAATTTGTCTCCATATCCCCTATCCCCACCCTGTCCCAATTTTCCTTCAGTGGCAGCTGGTGAATCCTGTCACTGGTGTGGCGAATCCACTCCAATTTGAAGCTGAAATCTCAAAGGAACTATCCAAGGTTCTGAAACCTGGTCCTCAAAAGATTCTGCACCTTGAATGGCACCATCTAGACCAGTGGTTCTCAACCTGGGGTCCCCAGATGTTTTTGACCTACAACTCCCAGAAATCCCAGTCAGTTTACCAGCTGTTAGGATTTCTGGGAGTTGAAGGCCAAAAACATCTGGGGACCCCAGGTTGAGAACCACTGATCTAGACTCTTCAAAACTTGGATCAGATTCTTTACCTCTCAGACATGTGAACCACAAGCCACTATTGGGAACAAGAATAAGGGAGAATTTATCAAAATATTATGAAGTAGAGGATGGGGACTTTGATGTTGTAGAAAAGGGACTTTAAAAATGCCTTCTGGTATTATTCATTTCATTTAATATTGAATAAAGCAATGTGGCTGTTGAATGAAGGAAGTCATGGGCTAAGAACAGAGCTACCCCAAGCCATTCTGCTGCCTGGGTTGAATTGGAAGATGAAGTCTCTTCCATTCCAAAAATGAGACTGGCAGTTGTGTGTGGTCATCACTATATCTGAAGTCAGCAAGTTTCCTTAGGAAGCACAGAAGAAGCCAAGTGGCACAGAGTTCCTACTGCAACAGCTTGTAACTTATCAAGGATACAATAAACTCACTTTTTCTAATTATAGGTCCAGCTCTGATGAAGAGGAGAAGATGGAAAGTAGAAAAACTGTTAATGGCGTAGTAGAGTCAGGGCTCAGACGGCCAAAGTGTCAGCACTTTTTTATGTCCAGGTGGTGGTGTCCTCATCACCCCTTCTGGAGTTTCTCTCTGAGCTTGAATGAAATCCTCACAGCTGGAATGAGGAGTTAGAATTTCCTGGCAAAACATTAATGTAAATGATGCCAGTTATAAGAAGCAAAGCATTCTGAGGTGGGTTGGTTTTGAACAGGCAATTAAGACTCATTAGCTTTACAAACCACCCACTCTTAGGTCATTTGTAATTTTTCAAAAGTGCTAGAATTGGTGTGTTGGTGTGGCTCAAATAAGATACCTACCCTGCACATTTTTGCATTTTGCATTGCCTACATTTTGTTATGATTGTGACTGCCATGATGAAATACTAAAAAGCATGCATTGTGAATCAGTAGAAAAAGGAGATTGATTTGCCTGTGTTTATGGATGATCTACATTTACTCTTAAAAAGTCCAACACATTTTGGTCTGTACATATATTAATTGACCTATTTCAAGGACATTAATTAGATCGCTAGCAGATATTTCTGGAATTACCGATACTCTCTTTCTGCTAGCTGGACATTGTTTAGCCACTCTGGTCCATATGTTGATAGTCCTCAGAGTTACCTGAAACTCCTGCAGCAGCAAATGTACCATTTTTTTTTCAAAGAAAGGGTTTATTTTAAAGCTTCTGGGAATCTTGTAGTTTTGTAGTTTCTCTTTCCCCTTTCAAATCTACCCACCTGCTTTTAAGACCTGTGTGATGGCATAACAAAGAACATAAAACAATGACAGCCAAGGGCTCCCATCTCTTTTTCCAGCACTCTACAAAAGTGTCCTTGGAATGGCCCTAGGTCAATGGGATAGGCAAACATTTAAACAACAATATCTAAAGTCAGCATTAGCCTTTATATTCTGGCTAAATGTATTACTTCTCAAAAACAGGTGGAAACAATAGCTGATAGGCCTCAAATGCCCTTTTCTGCTTGTCATTCCGCCCGTCTTCACTGTCAAACCATTCTTATAATTTTAAGAGCTCCTTCTGACATCTCTCTCTCTCTCTGTGTCTTTCTTTCCCAGTGATAAATAGACTCAAAAGCATCTGTGCCTACTGTACCCATGGGAATCTATTTCATTTAGGCGCATACAGCTGCTGGGAGGCTGGAAATGTACTGTGCTTGGGTTGTGTTTTGTTTGGGTTTTTTCATTCAACTGTGTTCTTAAACATCTTGCCAAAATGTTTCCATTGTTAAGCCACTCCCGAGCCATATGTTGACAATCCCCAGGGTTACCTGAAACACCTGCAGCTTCTATTGTTGTGTTACTTAAAACACAGCATTGTCATTTAGGTAGAGAGATTTTCAGTGTAACAACTTTGGAAGATGCATACATAGAAGTTTAGCTCAGGATTTTGCCCTCAACTAACCTCAATTTTACAATGGAACAAAAGCTTTTACTTTCCATGAGAATCTCTCCGACCTTTGTAAGGTTGTCTTTCTTTCTTTCTTTCTTTCTTTCTTTCTTTCTTTCTTTCTTTCTTTCTTTCTTTCTTTCTGCTGCTTTGTTTGGAATCGTGTTGCTGATGAACTGGGTTCAGTCTCATTTGGAAACTCTGCATTATTTTTTTTGGTGGAAATCCTGCATCAGGAATCAGATATAGCCATTTCTTTCTTGCTGAAAAGCAGAGGGATCAGCAGGAAGCCATCCTACTCCTTTCCTTCAGCTGAATGAACTGTGACAGGCATCTCCAGGGGTCCCTGGGATGTCCTTGCAGGTAACATCCTTCCATCGCATCCAGCTACAGGAAAGCAGCTGGATGTGTCCCCACTGATTCCTCTGTTCTCTGATACTATATACACACAAAATAGATGTGCTGGGAAGCTTTGCTGCTTATAAGATAGGGTTTCAGAGAGACTTTGGTCATTGCATGCTCAGAAGAGAATTGCTACCCCCACAACAACAACAAAAGTGATTAGTAATGGTGTATGTTGGACTTCTGAGATTATAATTCATTAACAGGATGCCAGTATTTATTGCAAAAGAGATCCATAAAGGCCCCCTTCTTACAAGGACAGCATTAGGGAAGACATCTATGTCCTGTGGATATCAAAAGCCACCATACAAATCACAACAACAATTACAGAGCTATTTAGGAAAAGAAGCATAGAGGAAGAAATGCTATTTCTTACTCACAGCAGCAGCTCTCCAGAGTATCTGGCTGGATTCATATCCTAACTGTAACTCAAGGTCCCTGTGTTCACTTCTGGTGATCTCTTATCCAAATAGTAATGAAGCCCAGTTCTGTCCAGTTTCTAAACTCAAGCAATATTGGCGTGGTACAATGGGATTTATTTAAATGCCAGCCATGTAAGACAAGTCTTACATGAATGAAGTTCAACAGTGACAAATGCAAGATACTCCACTTTGGCAGGAAAAACGAAATGCAAAGATACAGAATGGGGGAGGCCTGGCTCGAGAGCAGTACGTGTGAAAAAGATCTTGGAGTCCTCGTGGACAACAAGTTAAACATGAGCCAACAATGTGATGTGGCAAAAAAGCCAATGGGATTTTGGCCTGCATCAATAGGAGCATAGTGTCTAGATCTAGGGAAGTAATGCTACCCCTCTATTCCGCTTTGGTTAGACCACACCTGAATATTGTGTCCAATTCTGGGCACCACAATTAACGGGAGATCTTGACAAGCTGGAATGTGTCCAGAGGAGGGCGACTATAATTATCAAGGGTCTGGAGAACAAGCCCTATGAGGAGCGGCTTAAGGAGCTGGGCATGTTTAGCCTGAAGAAGAGAAGGCTGAGAGGAGATATGATAGCCATGTATAAATATGTGAGAGGAAGCCACAGGGAGGAGGGAGCAAGCTTGTTTTCTGCTTCCTTGGAGACTAGGACGCGGAACAATGGCTTCAAATTACAAGAGAGGAGATTCCATCTGAACACGAGGAAGAACTTCCTGACTGTGAGAGCCGTTCAGCAGTGGAACTCACTGCCTCAGAGTGTGGTGGAGGCTCCTTCTTTAGAAGTTTTTAAACAGAGGCTGGATGGCCATCTGTCAGGGGTGATTTGAATGCAATATTCCTGCTTCTTGGCAGGGGGTTGGACTGGATGGCCCATGAGGTCTGTTCCAACTCTTTAATTCTATGATTCTATAAGTCTAGGGCTTGGAAAAGTTGCATTTTTGGATTACCATTTTTATAATGGAGGGATTTGGGCAGTTACAGTCCAAAAAGTAACTTTCTTTAAACTCTGGCTTTTCCTGTGAGTTTTGGATTTTTAAGCATGGCCCACAAAGTTGCAGGAATCCTTGACACAGAATGATCAATACTGTGATAATGATAGAACTGCTATATTTCTGACAGCTGGCTGAGAAATTCAAGTTGAACTCTACTATCAATACCTTTTCTCCTTTAGACCCTGCCCTGGCAGAGTTGTGGAAATGCTTGGAATACAGACAGATGCTTCTCTAACTACTCCTTGAATGACACCACCAACCTGACCAGCGCTGTGACCGAGTTCTGGGAGTACGTCTCCAGCCTAAGTCAGGTTTTGCCATGATTGGGCTCATCTCATCAGTACAGAGGCTTGTCTGGGTGGGAATGGGGAGGGTATAGAGGGTGTGTGTGTGTGTGTGTGTGTGTGTATGGTAAAGTTCCCCCCTGACATAAAGTCTAGTAGTGTCTGACTCTGGGGGGTAGTGCTAATCTCCATTTCTAAACCGAAGAGCCAGCATTGTCCATAGATGCTTCTAAGGCCATATGGCTGGCATGACTGCATGGAGTGCCAATACCTTCCCACTGGAGTGGGATCTATTGATCTACTCAAATTTGCATGTTTTCAAACTGCTAGGTTGGCAGAAGCTGAAGCTAACAGTGGGAGTTCACCCCACTCCCCAGATTCGAACCACTAACCTTTCAGTCAGCAAGTTTAGCAGCTCAGCGGTTTAACCCGTTGCGCCACCAGGGGGCCTGTGTGTGTGTGTGTGTGTGTGTATATACACACACACGCACACACATAACTGCTGTCACTATGAGTTCACCCCAGTATAGCATCAACATCTGACATACAGGGGTGCTCAAGTAGACAATCCAGGATCCTTCATGTTGCATAATTATAGTGCTGTGTTCCTGTTTCAACATCCATGGCAACATCTTATGAAATCATGGGGATTTTAGTTTGGTGGGCTCTAGGGCTTTCTGTCTGGGAATTATAAGTACCTTCACTTAAACTGTAAATCCCAGAGTTCAGTTGAATGGAACCATAGCAGTTCAAATGGATTCATTGTGCTATAATTTTCTGATGACAAAGGACCTAAAGCTCCCAACACTGTTTCAATACTTTGGAGCAACATTTGGAAACACTCCGGTCCTCCACATTTGCATGTTTAACTTTTGTGGATTTGATTAATGTGGTCTCTAGATCCTCTAGTGTGAAGTTGACCACAGAGTTGATTAGGACTTGTGTATTTCCTTGTTTTCCATCATGTTTTAGGACTACCTGAATTGTATCCTGCTCTTATATTTTGTCTTCTCTCCACACTTTTTGTCTTCTTTCCACACTCTATTAATAATCTGTTGCTGTACAATGCAATTGCTAGACTCTTAGCTGATATGATTCCCCTCCCTCTCTTTTGCAGGAGGAACATGCACCAAATTTCTGGAGGCCTGGGAGAGCCAGGAAATATTCGTTGGCCATTGGCTGGGACGCTTGCATTAGCCTGGATCCTGGTCTATTTCTCCATATGGAAGGGGGTTGAGTGGACTGGAAAGGTACTTATTAACTATTGCCTTTCACAGATGTACCTTTTCCTCAGTTGACTCTGTGTTTTGCTTGAGATCCTATAAATAGAGCTTCAACATTGCATAGCAACATTTCCCAACTTTTACATAAGAACAAAAATTATCATATATCACCCTCTAATCTGAATATTATGGCAGTTGTTAATAAACAGTGACCTCTAAAACTGCTAAGGTCTTTATGGCACAAAGTTAAACACTGTTGCTGTTGAGATACTGTTCACCATCAACACTTGTGGCTTGGTTTGATGCTTCATTGATTACATTCAACAGACCAGAAATAAATTTGGCAGACACTTACCTTTTGAAAATTTTGCAGATTTTGAAATGGTCAATATGAGTAGAGATGTTAAAATGCAAAAATGAATTTTCATATTTATGAAACAGAGTTTCAAAGTGCTAGGTATCTGCTGCCAGATACATCCAACTACATACCAGATATTATCAAATATTGACTGCTGCTGTGTGCTATCTTTTATAGGTTTTCAAATATTGGTCAACATACTTATTTATTTACTATATTTATATCCCACGTTTCTTGATCTCGAAGGGGACTTAAGGCAGTTTACAGCATAGGCAATAATTCAATGCCTTAAAAACAATATACAATTACATAAACATTTCAGTTAAAAACAAGGTTAGAAAACTTTAAAAGATTTTAAACAATGCAATTACTACTATAAACCATGCTATCTGCAATCATAGTCCAGGCCATTCCAGTAGTCATTACACATAGTTCCAAATCCATCTATTCCACTGTAGCATTCTCCAAAGGCCTGATCTCAAAGCCAGGTTTTTGCTCTCTTTCTGAAGCTCAGGAGGGAAGGGGCTTTTCTAATATTGCTGGGGAGGGAGTTCCACAACCGAGGGGCCACCACTGAGAAGGCCCTGTCTCTTGTTCCCACTAATCAGCCCTGCGAAGGAGGTGGGACTGAGAGCAGGGCCTCTATGGATGATCTTAATCTCTGAGATGGTTTGTAGGGTAAACTATTAGTGGCATACACTCGTAAACTGGGTGCTGCGAAGGCTGGTGTGCTTTTCCTTTCTCCACAGTGTCCAAAGCCTCCTCCTCCCACATCATACCACATATCCACATTTCAAATAAAATGTCTAGAAAATATTCATCAAAATTATTTATAAGGATTTTGACAGCTCTTTGGATGGAAACCCCATTTCAGTTTCATTTGATAATTTCTCTGTCTCTCTCCTTCTCTCCTCCAGGTTGTGTACTTCTCAGCTACCTATCCTTACTTCATGCTGTTTATTCTGTTCTTTCGTGGAGTCACCTTGCCAGGAGCCAAGGAGGGAATCCTCTTTTACATCACACCAGATTTCAGCAAGCTCTCTCAATCTGAGGTTTATATTTCCATCCGATCCCCGTGGAACTAATTACTGCTATGTACAACAACTGCCAATTGTCCCAGCATGTTCTTGCAACTCAAGATGGAGAAGGAAATTGAATAATTTAAATCAGAGCTTCCAGAATAATGGTTTCTAAATGTCCTGGTGTGCTATTCAAGGCTGTTCCTGGCATTGTGTTCGTCTCGTAGGTCCAGAGTTGCTTTTTTGGACAACAGCTCAGAGAATCCCCCCAGCCAACATGCCCAGAGATCATGTTGGGTGGGAATTCTGGGAATAAACATTCAAAAAAGTAGTTTCTTAGTTTTATATTTTTTCTGGTCACTTTTCTATATGGCAGTGGCTTTTTCTACTGGCAGTAGGATAGATTTAATTTATGTACATACGTACATATGATCCTTTTCTATGTGAACTGTGCCTAGAGCAGCTTCTGAGAGCTATTAGCTATCCCAAAGGAACAGACTGAAATTCCAGGATGGTTAGATTTGTCCCCAGGATCTGAGCTACTTTGTCTCTGCCTTGGAGGTTATAACATCCTAACCTCCAACTGTTTCAATTTCACAACCCCATTTCCATTTCTGTTGCTGCAAATTGCATTGAAAGGGCAACTCATGCAGGGAAGAGGAAGAAGACAAAATCTCTGGCAAAAACAAACTGCTGCAGCCTTTCTGAGCTTCCATATTAATATCGTTTGTAATCTTGAGCACACTCTGATGTTGCCTGGCCACATATGGTTTTCATCTGTTAACGTTATTCCTGGAGTAAGTGCCATCATTTGCCTACAGATCTTTTGAGTGAGATGAATGGGTCATTGAGAGGCATGAGAGACTTAGAAAAGGTCCTGGGGAAGGCCAGCAACTTATGGGTCAAATGATTCTCACCCCAGGTTTGGAGAAATAATTAGCAGTTGTTATTATTATATCAAGAGAGCTAATGTATTGGGGATTGATCGGTTTGTGGTATCACACAATGGTCAACATCTGCAACTCTAAACAGGATATGGCAGGCAGTCTATAATCACATAGATATCTATGAGATGAGAGATCACGTCTAGCCTTTACAATTTTAAGCACTTTTCTTTCTTTACAGGTCTGGATGGATGCAGCCACACAGATCTTTTTCTCCTACGGTTTAGGGCTTGGCTCTCTGATTGCCCTAGGAAGCTACAACACCTTTCACAACAATGTCTACAGGTTTGTGGGAGCTAACTGTTGTTCATGCTGTTGAGAGATGATAGGAGCTATAGTCCACACAACTGGAGGGTCCTAGACTGGGGAAAATGTGTTTGGAGGAAGGTTGAATTTGAAAAAAAGAAAAGAAAAAATCCCATCAGACACTATGCCAATCACCACTTTCACCCTTTCCAAGATCTCCTTAAATTATCAACAGTGTACATCTAAACAAACTTCTTTAATACAGGTTGAGTATCCTTTATCTGAAATGTCTGGGACCAGGAGTGTTCCATAGTTTGGATTTTTGGGGGGTATTTGGGGGGGAAAGGTTGAGTGTCCCTTATCACAAATGTTTGAGGTCGGAAAATGATTTGTATTTTGATATGTCTGTATTGGGGTGTGTGTACATGTGTGTGTGTGTGCATCTATACCATAAAATATTTTGGAGATAGGACCCAAGTCTAAATTTGAAATGCTTCATATATGCCTTGTACATATAGCCTGAAAGTAATTTTATGAAATATTTTAAATACCATCTTTCATCTCATAATAGTTGTCATCACATAATAGTCACACACCCCTTTTGGGGAAGGCAGAAATGGAGTTTTGCCCTTCCCCACATAATAGTCGCACACTTAATTTACTCACCTGGGTGAGTGAACTAAGGGTTCAGCTACTGTTTTGGCACTATGGGGCTTGAGTCACCTCCCAGACAAGTCAAGCCCCACAGCACCAAAAGGGAAAGAAGGCAGGTGGGGTAGGGGAGAGTGAATTCAGTTCCCTACCCGCCTGCTTTCTCTTTTGATTAGGTGGGATTGAGTCAAGCCCCACAGCACCTGAGAAAGAGAGCAGGAGGGTGGCGGAGTAAATTTGCATCACCTGCCCTCACAGCTGTACCTTCATAGGGACTGCCATTATGCAGTAAAAAAGTCACTCAAATGGATTTTTTTTCACTATGTAATAGTCCCCATCGCATAATAGTCACACTCCCATTTTCCCCTAAAATGAGTGGGTGGAGTGCTACTATTATGTGATGAAATATAGAAACAAAATTTGTGTACCTTGAACTATTAGAAAACAAAAGTGTCACTATGCAGACACCCATGTGGGTAATTTCAGAGTATTTTGGACTTTGGAGTTCTAAATAAGCAATGCTTGACCTGCATATAGTAAATTTGACATCAAATGCCCATAACATTACTGGAACTTCTGCATTCCATTCAAGAATAGAAGTAGAAATAGCATTTTGCATGTGGTACCATTTTGCATTAGTCAAAGCCATGGTATTCCCTGTAGTAACCTACGGATGTGAGAGCTGGACCTTAGGGAAGGCTGAGCGAAGGAAGATAGATGCTTTTGAACTGTGGTGTTGGAGGAAAGTTCTGAGAGTGCCTTGGACTGCGAGAAGATCCAACCAGTCCATCCTCCAGGAAATAAAGCCCAACTGCTCATTGGAGGGAAGGATACTAGAGACAAAGCTGAAGTACTTTGGCCACATCATGAGGAGACAGGAAAGCCTAGAAAAGACAATTATGCTGGGGAAAGTGGAAGGCAAAAGGAAGAGGGGCCGACCAAGGGCAAGATGGATGGATGGCATCCTTGAAGTGACTGGACTGACCTTGAAGGAGCTGGGGGTGGTGACGGCCGACAGGGAGCTCTGGCGTGGGCTGGTCCATGAGGTCACGAAGAGTCGGAGACGACTGAACGAATGAACAACAACACCATTTTGCATGCAGTTTCACATGTACATGAAAATGCAAATATTTGAGCCCATGTGGCTGCAAATATACATTCAGTTTGCAGTGTTGTCATCCAATTCAGGAGCTGCATAGCACACTCCAAGTGTAATTTCACATCTGACGATTTCCACTGCAGAACCCCAAAGTAGGAGCTTGACTTTTTCTTCTTCTTGGTTCACTCCTTTTGCTGTGAAGTCTTTCTCGGGGCCACTGAGCATCTAATGTTCCTTCCGAATTGGATTTTCACTGCCTTTCTCTATCATAGTTATCCCTTGAGAACTTTAAAGAGGTTTTAAGCATTCACAGGGAAAACCTCTTAAGCCTTTTTTTGCTTTCAATCCATTAACGAGAGACCAGGCCTTGCTTATCAACCTTGAGCTGAATTTATGATACTCCATCCAACCATGGAGAAACAATGTGTGGTAGCAACTGAGCTATTGCATGAACATTTGAAACTGACTTTTATCTTTCTTCTCGCTTCCCCATCTCACCTTTTCTTTTCTCTGCAACTTCATTGAACTCTTTTGTTCTTTGCTCTCATATGCTTATCTCAAAGTGAATATTTGGCCAAAAATGCAATTCATTTTTACTATATTTTTAGCAACAACCTTTGAGTAAATGGAAGGGCAGCTTCCATATGAAGCAAGGCTAACATACAGTTTTAAAAAATTACTTTCAGGGAATACAACTTTCAGAATATCTGAACCAGGCCTGATCAGTGGCAATATTTAGCAGAGCAATTGAAACCACCAGCTGCAGAAAATATTGCCAATCAAAAGATTGGCATTGGGGTGAGCTCCCAACCATAAGCCCAGATTGTGTTCACCTAGCAGTTTGAAAACAGTAGTGTGAGTAGATAAATAGGTACCACTGGGGAGGTAATAAAAGGCACCCATGTGGACATGCTGACAATGCCAGAGATGGAAAAAGATGGGAAGCCTTTACCTCTGTTTATGTACTGTCTGGCTGTTAATTGTATAACAGCATTGAATGTTTGCCATACATGTGTACTGTAATCTACCCTGAGTCCCCTTGGGGGAGATAGGGTGGAATACCAAGTATATTATATAATTATTAATGTTGGTTGTGGGATTCTGAGAGTTTTTGTCTGAAAACGCCACACATCTTAAGATGCTATTCTTTACTAACTAAACTGCCTGGTGCATTTCAGCCAGTGGATAATTTTTCCATTGTAGAGTCTTCAGGATGGCCCCAAGCCTATCCACAAGGCAAGGTTAACTGGAGTTTTTAGCAAACAGAGATTACCTCCCAGCATTTTGAGATTTATGTTCCCTTTTCTTCAGTGTATTTCTTTGGATGCTCCCCAGTTTTGCCCCTTTTGCTCTTCAGTGCTGTCATCCCTGTTCAAACACCCAAACACCCTGATACATACACTCACACAGTTGTTTGTCTGCCTGCATCTTCTCTGCCATGTAAGGAGAAGGTCATAGAGTTTTTAGTTATGCTTTCACACTGCAGAGAGAGAGAATGAGAATGATGGAGGACCAACAGAGAACACAGCTGTTGCATTGAATGTCTGCTGGTGCCAAATGTCTGGGAAGGTGAAGATGGAAATTTGCTTGTCTTGCTGCATGGGTGATTCCCTATTCCTCCTCCTAGAACACTTTTTTCCAACAAGCATGGAAAACAACAGCCTGCTCTGCATTATCTCTGTCTCCTCTTCTTTTCTGTGAGCATGGCTGCTAAAAAAGGGAGACCCATCTTTACAGCTATGTTCCTCATTCTTCTTAATTCCTCTTTCTACGTTAGGGCATTTGGGTGTAGGGTTGGCAACCCCATTGGGGCAGGGAGTCTGGCATAAAGCAGCTCTTATTGGCTGGTAATCCATGAGCCATGCTCTTTCCAGACCAGCCCTGCTTTTCTCCTTGATCCAAAACATTGAAATGTTGTGTTTAGATCTGGAAATTGCTTTGTGAGCACATAAGAAAGTTTTCTTCTGTCAGTCAAATCAATCAAATATCTTCTTTTCCAGAGACTCCATCATTGTTTGTTGTATAAATTCCTCAACAAGCATCTTTGCAGGATTTGTTATTTTCTCGATTATTGGTTTCATGTCTCACATCACCAAGAAGTCCATAGCTGAACTGGCATCTTCAGGTATAGTAATCTCATTGGGAAGTGTGATGTGGCTCAGAAAAGGACTGCCCACAGGTGTTCACTAGTATTATGGAGATATCATCATGCATAATAGAAGTTAAAATTCAAGAGTTACCCTAAACCAGCTTAAGCAGCTGAAGGGGGGAAGGAAAAGGCTTGAGCCCAGGAATTGTGGGAGTTGAAGTCCAAAACACCTGGAGGGCCCAAGTTTGCCCATGCCTTCCCTAAACAATGGGTCATGGTCTCAAAAAGGCAATCAAAGAAAGATTATTTTATTATCTTCAATGAAGACTTCTTGTTGTATACCTTTGAGTTGTTTCCAACTTTTGGCAAACCTATCATGGGGTTTTCTTGGCAACATTTGTTCGGGGGTGGAAGTGGTTGAGTAGATTTCCATAGTTAAGCAGGGATTTGAATCTTGGTCTGAAGAGTCATAGACCAGAACTCAAAGCACTACACCATACTGGCTCTCTTTCAGACACAAAACTTGTTCAATGGTACAACTTTACAACATGAACTTTAAGATAAGGGTTTAAATTATCCTGCACTAAGAAAGGTTTAATAAGTCAGTTTCTTAATTAACAATAAGATAGCCTACCAATTTCATCCATTCCAAGAATCATGGGCTTCATACCTACATACATTTCCCTGGAGAGTAGGTCCCATTTTTGTTCATCTGAATAGACCTGCCTAAGATTTCCTTGTTACTGTTTTTCCACGATGTACTGTAGTGTGATAAAGATTTTAGTCATCCCGTGCTTAATGTCTGAATAAAGCTGGAAAATTAATGAAATGTAATAGCTCAATGTATTTTGATGGCTGCAGGTCCAGGACTGGCCTTTCTTGCCTATCCGCAGGTTGTCACACAGCTGCCAATGTCGCCTCTCTGGTCAATTCTCTTCTTTTCCATGCTCATGATGCTTGGTCTTGACAGCCAGGTAAGATGATTTTTTTAAAAATAGGAGTACATAAATCGCAGCAGAAACCACACATGGGTGTATAGTGGTGCTTTCACAAGCGAGGTAAATAGCAGCAATAACCTGTACAACAAGATTGGAGAAGCTCAGGTTCTGGGGTCTTCTTAGGGAACTCATGTGATTCTCTGGGCTTCCCTCTACAGCAGAGGTTCTCAGCCTGTGGGTCCCCAGATGTTTTGGCCTTCAGCTCCCAGAAATCCTAACAGCTGGTAAACTGGCTGGGATTTCTGGGAGTTGTAGACCAAAACACCTGGGGACCCACAAGTTGAGAACCACTGCTCTAGGGACCCTTCCTTATGGCATTTTTGTTTCTGTACAAATACCCATTCTAAAAAGCTGAAATGATAATAATAGTTATTATTATTATTATTATTATTATTATTATTAATACCCTGCTTTATCTCTTGTAGGAGACTCAAAGCACCTAGGAGACTCAAAGCATCTCATAGGGCTAACTTACCAGCCAGAAAAGATTTTTGCTAAATTATGCTAGTGGTTTTGGACCTGCCATTTAAACTTTAGTCCCATCCTTACTAGGGTATGGCCCACAAAAACTTTTCTAAATAACAACAACAACAACAACAACAACAACACACTTTATTTATATTCAGCTTTATCTCCCCAAGGGACACAGAGCAGATTACAAATACATATATGACCAATATTCAATGTCATTATACAATTGACAGAGAAAGACAGTACATAAACAGAGGCAAGGCTTCCCTCTTTTCAGCAGAGAGGAAACAACCAGGCACATCTTAACACCTCTCAACAAAAGATTTTCCCAGGCTCAGGCAGGCCTTCAAATGCTAATGAAGGTGGTCAATTGAAACATTCACACCTAGCTATAGCAGAGAAGAGCTCTGTGCCCCACCCCAGCCATTCCACAGATATATAAACCCATTGTCCTATTTCCAACAGACCTCACTACCTCTGAGGATGCTTGCCATAGATGCAGGTGAAACGTCAGGAGAAATGCCTCTAGAACATGGCCCTATAGCCCGAAAAAACCCACAAGAACCTAGTGATTCCAGCCACGAAAGCCTTCGACAATACATCTTCCCTCTTTTCATTTCTGGCAGCCCCTGGTGATGCAATGGGTTAAACCCTTGTGTTGCCAAGACTGAAGATGGACAGGTCGGAGGTTCAAATCTGGGGAGAGTGTAGATGAGCTACCGGCTGTGCTCAACTCGACAATGGGGAGGTGCTGTTGTTTCATTTTCCATGGACTCCTTTCTTGGTCAGATTTTTTCCAGCATGTTTTTCAGAGCACCTTTTACCTCCCTGCCAAAGCAGTACCTATTTATCTACTTTCATTGTTATTTTCAAACTACTAGGAGCTCACCTTGACCCTGGCTTGAACTGCCAACCTTCTGGTTGGCAGGATCTTCTATAATAGGCAGTTTAAACTGCTGTGCTAGCCCAGGCCTTTTAGATGGATTCAGTCCATGCCCAACAAGTGAAAAGTAGAACGTATTGCTTGTGTTTTGGATTGCAGTTACTCTAATCAATTCCTCCTCCTCCTCCTCCTCCTCCTCCTCTGTCCCCTCGCTTCACCAAAACACAGCAGGACACAGCTACTGGGTGTGCCCAGTCCTCATTGGGTTAAAACCTTTTGAAGTTATGTCTCATGTGCAGTCATCTAGGTGACAACTTCTTCTTTTCTTTTCTTGTACATATTCAGCCCTTCTGGGTCTAGATAGTTTCATTTTGAGGTGGTCAGGAAAATTTAAAAGTAACAGTTGTGTGCCCAAATATATTATCCAGCTGTGTAGTTGATCCTGCATATGTCATATACATCTGATAAAAACCACACTCTCAGTATAGGATCAGGTTTTTTGTGGGATTCTGAGAGTTGTAGTCTCTAAAAGTAATGTTTCCAGCCTCTCCAAGAGAATTGGTTGTCCTCCTGATCATTCTCTGTGATTGCTTCGAGAAGATAGAATTAGTAATTTCTGAAAAGAAAATGGCTCCTTCCATCACAACTTGAACTTCATCATCATTGCCTTTCTAGTAGTATTGGAAATAGTTATATTATTCAGTCATATAGGTTAAAGGTAAAAGTTTTCCCCTGGCATGAAGTCCAGTCATGTCCAACTCTGAGGGTTGGTGCTCATCTCCATTTCTAAGCCGAAGAGTCAGCGTTGTCCGTAGACACCTCCTGTGTCATATGACTGGCATGACTGCATGGAGCACTGTTACCTTCCTGCTGGAGCGGTACCTATTGATCTATTCACATTTGCATGTTTTCAAACTGCTAGATTGGCAGAGGCTGGGGCTGTCAGTGGAAGCTCATGTTGCTCCCTGGAATTGAACCTATGACCTTTTGATCAACAAGCTCAGCAGCTCAGCACTTTAACCCACTGCGCCACCGGGGGCTCCTACAGTCATATATATATATATATCTTAAATCAGCTAATTCAACTATTTTTCTAAGCTTTGACGGGCATTTGAAGGATTCCTTTTTTAAATTCAAGTATTTTCGGTGGTAAGCAGGGTAATAAAATTGCAGGAATATTGATGTCTGTAAATATATTTACAGCTATGTGTTGACTCACTTCTTCCCTTTTTGCAATCACTTTCAACATAATATGAATGTCAGGTTTCTCTATAGTGATGGAGAAAACTCCAGTTATGAGCCTTTTGAATAGAAGAATAGGCACCCAGTAACAAATTCTTGCAAAATGCCCTTGGGGTGGTTGCTGCTCACTAGAAATTGGTTTCAGTCCAGTGTTTTTTGGCACTCAAGTGCCTTTGGCACTTGCTGCCAGTCCTGAGTCCATAGGCAAAGCAGTGGTTTATTTATGCCCTTATTATAGTGCAGACAAAACAAGGACTGAAGAGAACCACACAGCCATGAAGAAAAAGGCTGACACAGCTTCTCAAACCATCTTATTCCGACTACTGAACCTTATAGGTAGGATCTCACAGTTTAATCAAAACTTGTTTTCCTCAAAGTGAAGCCTTGTGCTTTGTTGATTAATATTGTAAACAAATAATATAAAATCAGAGCAAATCCCCCAGGCATGTATGCACCTGAAATATAAATGTCAAGATGAGTCTCCCTCCTTGCTCTGGACAGGAACTCATTTTGGCTTTATTTTAATGAGAGACTGGAATTGATCGCTAGAGATGGAGGCACAAAATTGATGCCTGTGATCAATCTTATCACCTGAAGCTACTTCTTCATATCGTTCGTTCCATGGTATTGCTGGCATGGTATAAATTGCTAATAAATGAGCCAAACATATTATAAAAGAAACAAAACAACATAACCACATTTCAGGGTTGATCTGCGCACGAAGCAGAACTAAGCAATGGATTTGACCGGGGTAAAAAAATAAACTAAAGCAATACTTTTAATGCCCAAATGTGGAGGAAATATCACTCCCGCCAACAATTTAGTTGTACAACTTGCCCTTTAGGATCTCTATCCTAACAAAGAAGCTTACAAGAAGTACTATCAATTTCAGATAATTGAAACTCCAAAATAAAAATATGAAATATAGTAAAGGTTTCCCCTGACATTAAATCTAGTCATGTCCTACTATGGAGATTGGTGATCATCTCCATTTCTTATGCTGAAGAGCCAGCGTTGTCCATAGACGTCTCCAAGGTCATGTGGCCAGCATGACTACATGGAGTGCTGTTACCTTCTCGCAGATCTACGCAGATCAAACTGCTAGGTTGGTAGAAGCTGGGGCTAACAGCAGGAGCTCACCGCCTCCCCAGATTTGAATCATTAACCTTTCAGTCAGCAAGTTCAACAGCTCAGCATTTTAAACCGATCATTAGGTCACCAGGGTGACCTAATGAAATATACAACCATACAAAATGGAATTAGCAGAAAAAGTATTCATAAAACCAGACCTAATCTATATAAATAAAAATGTAATGTTTGTTTGTGGGATTAACATAACTCAAAAACCACTGGGCGAATTGACACCAAATTTGGACACAAGACACCTAACAACCCAATGTATGTCCTTCATTCAAAAAAAATGATTTTGTCATTTGGGATTTGTAGTTGCTGGGATTTATAGTTCACCTACGATCAAAGAACATTCTGAACCCCACCAACGATGGAATTGAACCAAACTTGGCACACAGTTCTCACATGACCAACAGAAAATACTGGAAGGGTTTGGTGGGCAGTGTCCTTTGGTTTTGGAGTTGTAGTTCACCTACATCCAAAGATGACTGTGGACTCAAACAATGATGGATGTGGACCAAACTCTACAAGAAGACTCAATATGCCCAAATGTGAACACTGGTGGAGTTTGGGGAAAATAGAATCTTGACATTTGGGAGTTGTAGTTGCTGGGATTTATAGTTCACCTACAGTCAAAGAGCATTCTGAACCCCACCAACGATAGAATTGGGCCAAACCTCCCATACAGAACCCCCATGTGGGGGGTGGCAGGGGACGGCTAGTATCATCTAAATCTACACCTGAAAAGAAAAGGTAGTTAAGGATTTTCCTAATATCTTTTTGTACAAAGTATTTTGACAGAACAGGACAACCCAAATGCTTCTTTTTTGGCATTATTATTCAGCTGGCAGTGGTTTCTTTTCAGGAATGGGTGGAGAAGCGAGTTTGAATAGTACAAGCCAGAAGGAAAATACATAATATCCTTTGGGTGTGTGGCTCAGCTCTTACTGAATCAATGACAAATTGATTTGGCTTCAAATGTAGTTTTCATCCCAACCTTTTAAGACGAGATAGGGCCCTTCACTTTAGTGCAAGATCCACTTGTTTCATCATGCCAGCTATTTATATAATATATTTATATAATCAAAATACATCAGGAGATGCAATTGTGGCTCAATTGACCTAGTTCGTAATTTAGAGTCTTTTCAAACATGATGCAAATCCTAAATGAACAATTCCTTTCATTTATTATTCTTTTTTATGCACCTAAATACCTTTTTAAAAGCATTTAATTTTACATGATTTACTG